AAGTCCTCCAACAAGACTCCTATAAAGAGTGGGATTAGAAAAAGGAAGAGAGTCAGATGTATATAGTGATGCTTTTGAAGAAAGAGGTGTAGAGACAGGTTTTGAGAACAAAAGATTTGCACGACTAAGAAGATCTTGAATATATTTGGACTGACACAGAAAATAACCACCATCACGAGCCGTGATCGTAACACCAATAAAATAATTAATAAGCCCTAAGTCATTCATAGCAAATTCAGACTTAAGAGTGTGGATTAGAGAAGTAAAGAAGTAGATGAAGCAGTAAGAAGAATGTCATCGACATATAAGCAAAATAGAAATGTCCTTTTTAGACTTATAAACATAAAGAGAACTGCCAGACATACTATTTCTAAAACCAATTTGGAGCAAGAATGTGGTAAAACGATGGAACCATGCCCTAGGAGCTTGTTTTAAGCCATAAAGGGCTTTGTTTAACCGACAAACATGATTAGGAAAGTTTGGGTAAACAAAAACAATAGGCTATTTCATGTATACCCGTTCATTAAGAGTGTCATGCAAGAAGGCATTCTTAACATCCAATTGATGAAGTAGCAACCCTTTAGAGGCAGCTAAAGCAAGAACAGTACGAATAGTGACTGGTTTCACCACAGGACTAAATGTTTGATCATAATCTAACCCATGTTGTTGATTGTACCCTTGCGCTACCAAGCGAGCTTTAAACCGTTCAATTGAACCATCTGAACGTTGTTTTACTCTGTATACCCAACGACAATCAATAACATTAACATTTGGAGGAGGCAATACTAACTGCCACGTATTGTTGGTCATGAGGGAATTATATTCTTCATCCATGGCTTTTATCTAGTTAGGATCCTCATTAGCTTCCTTGAATGAAGTAGGCTCGGGAGGAATGGATGAGATGTCTTTCTTAGATGTTTCCTGGGATAAGAGAAAAGGAAGAACCCGAGGCTTAAGGTTTCCTGTTTGAGAACGAGTAACCATATGATGAATTTTTGGAAGAGTAGGAACCGTGTGAGGAGAGTGACGTAATATTGGAGGAGATAATGGAGGGGAACATATGGTGGGGGAAATAAAATGATATAGAACATCAATGTTTGAAAAGGGATAAGGACCAGCATGTGTATTAGTGGTTGCACGAGTAGAAGAAGGTAAGAGAGGAGAAGATGTAGTTCGAACATTAGAGGGATAAGGACTTACAAGTTTACTGTGTATAGGAGAAGTAGTAGACTGTATATTTTGAAATTCATAAGGAATAGTACGTAAGAATGAATTATATCTAATTGGAGACAAATATGAAGAAGTCAAAGCTGATGAGGAATCAACATTGAAAGGTGGATAAAATTGTGAACAAGTAGGAGAAGTCCTAGAATCCAGTGGTGGTGAAACTTGAGAAATATTCTTATGCAAATTAGTTGGAGATAAATTAGGAATCTGATTAGAAGGTGGAGAAATATTCTTAAGAAAATTAGTAGGAGATACATTAGGAATCTGATTAGAAGTAGGAGAAATATTGTCAAGAAGATTAGTTGGATTTAAACTAGGAATTTGATTAGAAGTTGGAGTATTTTGCGTATGAGATAAAGGGAGAGTCCTAGGGAGTGAAGAGATCGAATGAGATACAGTAGGTAGCAGAGGTTGGAAGGTAAACTCTGTTGGAGATTTGAATAAAATATTTGAAATACAAGAATAAGAAGTTGGTTGAAAAGAGTAAGATACGGAAAGGATTCCTCATCAAATCGAACATGTCGAGAAATGTAAACTTTATTTGTTAATGGATCCAGACACCGAAATTCTTTATAATTTAACGAATAACCAAGAAAAACACAATATTTAGAACGAGGACTTAACTTGTTACAAGAGTAATCACTAAGATTCGGATAACATGAGCATCCAAATACACGTAAATGGTCATAGGTAGCACGCTTGCCACATAGAACTTCAAATGGAGTTTTAAATTGAAGTTTAGAAGAGGGAAGTATATTCAAGAGATGAACAGCAGTTTGAAGAGCTTCAACCCAAAATTTAAGAGGAAGAGAGGCCTAAAATAGAAGGGTACAGATCATATTTGCAATAGTGCGATGCATCCGTTCAACCTTGCCATTTTGCTGATGCGTATATAGACATGAGATACGCAACGATATTCCATTTTCGTCAAGAAAAACACGAAGCAAAGAAAGTTTAACATATTTAGCACCGCCATCACATTGCAAAGCTTTTATTTTTGTGGAAAATTGAGTTGAGACATAAGAATAAAATGATTTAAATTTTAAAAAAGCTTCTAATTTACGTTTTAAAGGAAACACCTATAAATTTTTTGAATAATCATCAAGAAAGAGAATATAATAACGGAAGCCTGTAAAAGATGCTATGGGAGATGTCCATATATCACTATGTATCAATTCAAATGGGGAAGTCGTGAATGATTGAGATTCCACAAAAGGTAATTTATTGTGCTTGCCAAGCTGGCAAGCATTACATAAGAAATCTAATTGTTTGAAAGAACTACAAGAAACTTTATTTTCTCTAGCTAATTTAGAAAGAATGGCAAAGCTTGGATGGCCTAATTGTTGATGCCAAAGATTTGAAGAACGTCGCACTGCTGCAAAAGCTCGATGAACTGCATCATAAGATAAGGAAGACAATGAATAAAGAGGGCCTTGGCTATTGCACCGTAGAAGAATTTTCTTGGTCTTGAGATCCTTAATAAAGAAACCAAAAGGATCAAATTCAATGGTGCAATTACTATCAGTAGTAATTTACGAACACTCAGCAAATTACTTGAGAGATTAGGAACAATAAGAATATTTTTAAGAGAAAAAGGGTAGAAGGAGTAAATATAGTACCATGACCAGTGTATGAAATGGGAAGTTGAGTACCATTGCCTACAACAACTCGATCAGTACCATTATAAGGGAGAACCGAGGATACATTACCAGGATTTGGGGTCATGTGAGAGGAGGCCCCAGTATCAACATACCAGTGTGCATCGCTAGGCATGGCATAAGAATGAGTTGGAGATGATTGAAGATCATAGATAAATGCTTTAGGACCAAGAGATAGACATTCACGAGCTGAATGATTATATTGAAAACAAAGTTGACATTGGACAGTAGCATGCATGTGGGAAGAGGGAAAAGAAGAATAAGGAGCAGGCCCGAGAATGGATGGAGATCGAGGGCGAGGAGAGAGATTTGGAGAAGGGGTAGAAAAATTCTTATAAAACCCAGGATTGTTACGACCCCTACCACGACCACCATTTGAGTTCCGACCCCCATTGTTGTTCCTACCACGACCACGACCATGAGGAATAGAATGTTGCTTCGCAACAAAAGCAGTAGCAGATAAGTCAGAATTAGTGGCAGAGAAATTAGACAATTGAGCCTCATGCAAAAAGAGCAGAGAACGCATCTCTGTAAAAGATGAGAGTGGGATTCTAGTAGAAATGGAAGTACTAACTGGCATGTAATAAGAAGGAAGGCCAGACAAATTTTGAAGAACAAGATCCGTTTCTGAAATCGGATTACCAACGGAGTTCAGAGAATCTGCAATTGTTTTAAGCCGATGCACATAGTCATTGATTGAAAGATCACCTTTCTTAAGGTTATGAAATTGAACCTTGAGTTGAAGAGTTCGAGAACTAACTTGGTCACGGAATAGACACTCAATTTCAAGCCAAGCTTCTCTAGAAGTTAGAGAATGATTGGGACGAAGAATAGCTTGAAGGATTTCTTGAGAAATGGTTGCTTGAATCCAGGACAAGACAATGAAATCAAGTTGAACCCATTGTTGGAAAGCAGGATTGAGAATGGAGTTACCATCTTCTGTAATAATGGTAGAAGGTGGACAAGGGAAACTTCCATCAATGAAACCATAAACACCATGATCCCTTAATTACAGTAGGAATTAAGTTTTCGATGTTAGACAAAGAAATAGCAGTGTTGGACGAGGGAGACAGAGAAGATTGATCAGGTTTGATTGGAGATGAAGTCGTTTTGATTGGAGATGTTAAAATCGATTCTGAAAAAACTTTACTTTCATAGTGAATGGTTGTTATATAGAGATGTTACAGAGATGTGTGACTATAGTCTGTATGTGGTATATTATGTGAAAATTAATGTGAGTCAAAAACAATTGTTCTTCGTTAATCAAGATTTAACTTATATATGCTAACACGAATTTTACACGACAATGCAATTTAACTTATTTTAACAAGTCACTTCCAGTAGCGGCAGTGGCGAAGCCAGAAATATTTTTAAGGGTGTTCAAACTTGAAAGAAAAAAAATTCTCGAGAAAGGGTGTTCAATACATGTTATACACCTTTAAAACCTAATATTTTATCTATATATGCAGTATAATTTTCTAACGAAGGATGGTCGATTAACCACCCTTATCATAGTGTAGCTTCGCCCATGAGTAGCGGAGCCACTCCTTAACCAGGGGAGTCAATTGACACGCCTTTGTCGAAAAATTACATTGCGTAGATAAGTTAAATTTTTAACTTTTATGTATATATATATTGACTCCCCCTGTTTTCTTCATAGTTATTTATATTTTGACTTTTCTTAGTGAAAATTCTGGCTCCGGCACTGGTCACTTTTCTCATTTCTTCCAAGTTACTAATTCAACTTGTTATCAGCAGTTACCTTTAGTTACATTTTACATGACCTGATAGTGCTAAAAAAATTCATTGCAGCATATAAAAGTTAAACTCTACTAAGTAAACCTTTGTTGCATGCATGGTAATATTTTCTTGAAGATGCACAAGATATTCCGCGTTTATTTAGGGTCGAAGAAAGAGCCGCACATCAAGGGATATGATATAAGCCCACCCTAATATAAGTATTAGTGTTTGCTACTACAACTCGAATCCATGACCTACATGTCACATAGAGACAATGACGGCTCGAACCTACAGATTCAGTCAAATCACCATTTTGCTCTCGAAAATTAAATTTCAAGATTTTGGTTGTCACAAAGAACATGATAAGAACAAATGTAGAATCCAACTTTATCGTTCCTCCAACTGGAAAACAAATGTGATTACAAAAGGAAATATGGAGTTGTAAGCTTAGACATAGGCAAATACATAAAAAGATCAATTCATTACAAAGAAATGTAAAACAAAACTGACCCCAAAAAACATTAGAAAACAAGTTACAAAATGCCTTAATCCAAAACCACACCACACCTAGGATAATTCTTGATTTTTTCCAACCTCTCAAAATTCATACAAATACTTCTCAAATAGTGGCATATGATCAGCATCTAAACAAACAGCCAAACGTAAGTTTCTATCTTTACTATTTGGACTTGGTAATATATAAACTGTCCCTTCATATAAAATGCAAGCTGGTCCCATATGAATTGGTCTTCCCCATCCAAAATCTGAATCATGAACAGGCAATCTAGTCCAACTATTAATATTAAGATTAGGGCTAGCAAAGTATGTCGGGCCACGGATTAAAGCCGATAAATCGGGCTGTAATTCGAGGTAATCGAGCGCTGATCTTAGGTAATTATCATCCATTTTTGACAATGAAGTATGAATTCTCTTAGCTGAATTTGTCAATGGTTCTTGTAAAAGTTCACTTGATTTTGCCATCGGTGTAGCTGTGAACACAACATTTCCCAAGTAACCTGGTGGTAAAGGAGGACAAAGCCTAGACCTACCATCAGTGGCAACATGTAATTTGGTCAATTGATCGTCGGCTAGTGCACGTGCTTTGCACGTGCAACGCCAAATATGGGCCGCGAGGATTTCGTATGTGCTACCTTCATGTTTGGACTTGGACTTTAAAAGCCCAAGTTGGTCACTAGAGAATTTTAACATGGTTGTCATACTAGGCTTTGGGCTTGTGGATTCTAGGGTTTTTGATGATGAAATTAGAGATGGAGGAGGATGATACTCGACGTGCTCGAAAGACGATGTTGGTGGGTCCCGTGCACGGAGGAGGGTCCGGTCGATGAACGGCGGGATGGCGACGGAGAGGCCTCGGGCTATATCGGACCATGTGTTGATGAAGTGAATTGATGAGAGACCATCTGATAAAGTGTGGAATACTCCTCCACCAAGTGAAACTCCACCACATTTGAAACGAGTAACCTAATTAAAGATCACACAAAATAATATTAAATTTAAGTGTCAATCTTTATTCATACTACTACAAATAACAAGAAATGTCACTGCAATATAAAAGTTCTTGTACTATCAAATTTAGTAGATATACAATAACATGTAATTTCTCATATTAAGTATGATTTGATAATCTAAAAATTAGCAGTTTCTACAACGACAACAATAATAATCCAGTAAATTTCATAATGGGGTCTGTGGGAGAGTAGATGTGTACGCAGATCGTGCACCTACCCTGGGAGGACAGTAAGGTTGTTTCCGATAGAAACTCGACTAAAGAAAAGATGCAAAGAAGCAATGGCTACAAGTAGTAATAACAAGTTTTTAAGACCACCGAAGCGAAAGATAGCAATCAAATAGTAGACAGTAATAACAATCTAAGAACAGAAATATACTGTAATTAATTAAATTGCAAATATTGCAAAAATTCATTACGCTGTCAATATATATATATATATATATATATATATATATATATATATATTTAAAAATATATGATTTAATATGAGTTTATGAGCCATTCATTTTTAGACAAATTTACTAGGGAGATGTGACGTGTGAACTAATTTATGGACCAACTTGCTAGGGAAATGTGAGTTGTGAACTATAGTAAATTTTATCATTTTATTAATGCTTTCACATGCACAGATCCAAATACAGTAAAGAGCAAAAATCCAAACACAAACCTTTCATACTGATGGAATATTAAATCTATGTATGGCCTACGCACTGCGCCACTTGTTGTTTCTCATATAGTCTTTATGAATTATTAACGGTATCACCAAAGTTTGCAGCAGAGTAATAAATATTTGTTTATCTTTAATTAAGGTTTTAAATTCAAATTTTGAAAATGAAGTCGTATTTAATAGGGAACATTATACTCTTAAAATTGGACTATCCAACGAGAATCTGGAGTAGCCGAGCTCAAAGCGAATACCGAACGCCAGCGAATACCGAACTCCAGATGAAATAAAATAATAAATAGACAATATATTCAAACCTTTGTATAACAAACATCCCTGTATAATAGGGATTCATTATAAAATTCAAATTTTTCGAAACCGATTTTTATATTATGTTATAATATATCTAATCTCTAACAGCATTTAGAGTAACACAAAAAAAATATTGAAACAAACAAGTATGTATAAATAGGTTTTAATGTACTAAGAAGTTTTGGATTTGGTATTTGGACAGCTTTATGTATTCCTTTAAAATCGTAATTTTCTATTTTGGAGTGGTTCTGTCCTTTTTATCTTTCTTTTTTAAACACTATATCAAAGTCAAATTGTGTGTACTTTTGACTTTTTTTAATAAGTTTAACACTAAATAAGATAGCACTAATTAACTTATAGATCTAATTAGCACTTTACATTTATGGTTTTATCTGTATTCCTCCACCTCGTAAACTATAATAAATGTATATTTTCCCTAGATTTGTGTACCTATGAAATTAAAAGTCCTCTTTCTCCTCTAAAATTAATTGCCACCAATAATTGGATAGATTCTTCGTACGAGTTCAACTGAATATAATATTTTTACATTAAATGTATAAAATTATAAAAAAAATTAGTAAATATTTAATTTTGAATTCGTAAACTTAAAAATAAAATAAATTTAGTATTAAAATTTTCATATTAGAACCCATAAAATTTAAATTCAAAGATAAATCTTTCCCAAAATACCTTCTACACCAAACACATAATCTTTGACCAAATTTTCAAAGTGGGTAGTTCAAAAGTAATTGCGACGAAAGTGCCCCTTAGCTATTGCTAGCTATTTACTTTAATTAGTGTATGTACTATTTTTAAAGCATAGTAGAACAAGTCTATATTTTCATACTAGAAAAAGAAAGGGAAAAAAATAGTGAATTTTTTAGTAGGCGTTTGGACATAAAAATTATAATTTTTGGAAAAAAATAGTAATTAGAGTTATGTTGAAAAATGGTATTTGGAATTTGAAATTATGTTTGAACATGCATTTCCCTTGAAAAAATATTACAGTTGCGTGAATGGGGAAAAAAATTATAAAAATCTGCAAAAATTCATGGACAAACACATTTTTAATTTTTTTTTTATAAAAGAAAATCAAATTTTTTTATGGACAAACGGCGCCTTAATTGAATAACAAGAAAAGTAGGTGTCTATATTTCCTCTCCATTTTCAGTAAAATTTCTTTCAATGTTTCACCATTTCACAGCTACTACTCTCCCTTCCAATCTTTCCAATCTTTCCAATCAAAAGTTTTTGGACCATCAAAATCTTATTCTAGTAGAAATATTATTCTTTCACTACTCAAAAGTTTAGATTCTATACAGTGACAATGTAAATATTTTTTAAATTAAATAGGGGCGGATCTGAAATTTGAACTTTATAAGCTCGAATCAAGATTCTAACACAACCTCATTTGAGCTATTCGGCTCAAAATCAATTACTTGTACTTATTTAGTAAACTTTTTAACATAGTGCGAGTTAAATCTACTGAATTCATTCGAACTAATATCTTACCCTCTAGTTCCACCCCGTCTATAGGTAGCTAGACGATCATAATAAGTGAAATCAATAACCAAGAAAATAATGTAAGAAACCTACTACGGCATATTAAAATATACTGATAGCGTACCGATATACCCATCATTTCTGCCCCAGCTAAAAAAGTAGTCCGGTGTACTAAGCTAACGCTATGTGCAGGTTTCGAGGAAGGGCCGAACTACAAAGCTCTATTGTATGCAGTCTTACCCTGCGTTTCTACAAGAGACTGTTTTGACGGCTAGAACATATGACGTCCAGATCACATAGCTGCAACTCCGCCCCCAGCTAGATGATCATAATAAGTGAAATCACTAAGCAAGAAACCTATTAGGACATATTAAAATACACTGATATACCCATCATCTCCGCCCCCGGCTAGATGATCGTAATAAGTGAAATCAGTAGCCAATAAAATAAAGCAGAAAACCTATTACGACATATAAAAATATACTGATAGTGTAAAAATATTGGTGTATATAAATACCTGAAAGATGATGAGGGGGAAAGTAGAAATATCACCAGAAGTGTCAACAGTAGGAATAAGTTTCCTAAGTTCCAAACTTGGAGTAAAATCACCAAAATCATCAACAAAAGCATCACTTTCAGCTTCAACAAATAAAACTCCTTCTCCATTACAATTTATCTCAATTCTTCCTTGTTCATCTCTAGCTAATCTTCCAGCCATTGGGTAAAATGAAACAAGAACATTACTTAATGCTTCTTTCATTATTTTTGAATCAAAGAAATTTGAAGATCCATTTGGTTTATAGAAATATACTGTTAAAAGATGAATTCTTCCCACTATTAAATCTAAGTTAGAACTCCAAAGTCTTTTTGTTGGTGTTGGTTTTGATGGTTTTACTAATGTTGATTCCTTGATGTTAATCTTCATGATTTTTTCACTTCCCATTTTTTTTTTTTTTGAAAAAAAAGATAAAGATAAAAGTTTGGTTAAGGAGAGAAAAGGGTGTAAATAAATATAATTTATTTATGGTATTGAGATTTTCTTGAGGTGTAAAATGTGGGGAAAAAAAGGGAAGAAAGAGCTAAAGAGAGAAGAAAGAAAGAGGTGAAATGCTCAAGTACAAAGAAGAGAGGTGTTGGGAATGATTATTTATAGCCTAAATTATAGGGTTTCATGTTGTTGTTGTTTTTTAGCAAATAATGATTTTTTTCTAGAAATTGCAAGTTGTTAAATTGGCCATAATTTATTCCTTTTTTAGGGTATAATATTAATTTCATGGCAGCCCTTTTTTGAAACATTGATTGATGGCGTCTAAAGACAGTTCTTTTTTTTTTTACTATAATCTCACAAGTGATGTCTGATAAGGGTAACGTGTACGCAAATTTTACTTTTACATTTAGAAAATAAAGAAGTTCTATCCGCTAAATTCTCAACTTAAGAAAAGATGAAAAATAAGCAATAACACCAAACAATGAAACAATAAAATAGTAAGATAATCGGAGGGAGAGAGACAACATAAAATAATAGTAATCTAAGAATAAGAAAATACGAGATAAAAAGATACCGGAACAAAAAGACACTACTAAAAAGAGGGAAAAATCGATCGATGTTGGTCGATAATTGACAAAAATCGATCAAAAACCAACCGATTCGTGGCGGTCGGTAATCGTAAAGTCGGTAAAGCTAACCGACCGACTTTGGTCGGTATTTTTCTACCGATTTCGGTCGGTCAGTTAAAATAAAAAAGAATTACCGAAAATACTGACCGAAGTTGGTCGGTTTTTTCCGACCAAAGTCGGTCGGTATTTTAATTATGTAATTAAAAAATGCACCATTCGGTAATCGAACCGGGGAGTGGCAGGATGTTATTCTACCACTAGACCATTGACGCATTTTGTTTTAAGACTGTCTTTTATTTCATTTATACTCTTTAATTGTATTTTCGTATGAAAATAACCGACCGATGTCGGTCGATTTTATTAAAAAATAAAATTACCGACCGGATTCGGTCGGGTTTTTAAAATGACCGGCCGAATTAATCAACCGATTCCAATCATTTTTTTTAAATTAATTTTAATTTATTTTAAATGTAAAACCGACCAAAGATGGTAGGTTTCTTGAAAAATAAATTTCGTCGGACTCCAAAATAGTTTTCCGCATTTTTGCGCCAAAGAAAATCGGTCAAAGTTGGTCGATTTCGTAAAAAAAAATAAAAAAAAAATATTTTGAAAAACGATCAACTTTGGTCATTTTTTGGGCCCTTTTTTTGACCGATCAAAATAAATCGGTCGACCGCGATTGGTTTTTGCTGAATTTCTAGTGATGAGAGGCAACATAATAACATGGAACTATAATGTATTCAAAATTTATTAATTCGATTGATTCAAATTCACGTGAGGTAAAGCATTTTCGAACAAATATGCAAAGTTGTTAATTGGAAACGTTGGTTGATGATTACGTACACGAGTCTTCTTTTTTCATTTAATTATTTTTCACGTATTTAAAATTTTTTGATCCGATTAATTTAAATTTATATTAATTAAACTACAATGATTATTAATCACGCCCCTCCAAAATATAGGTTAAGCGAGAAAAAAATCTCCAAAAGTATCATAAATTGTGATAATGACTCCACTGATGACCCCGTGTTCGATTAGAATAAGGAACATAAGGGAAACATATTTATTGGAGGTTAAGGAAGATTAAAATTGCGCCAAAAAAATAGTTTATACTATTTAAAAATATTTTTCAACACGTAATACTTATTAGCTAGTAAAGTAGCTAAATGTATTGGAGATGGTTTAATTGAATTTAATTCGTCAATAAGTTAAATTGTGTATATAAAGTATAAATTGTTGAATCTCATTAGTAGCGAAGCATAGTACAAATTTATATTAGTTTTGGATTCTCTTAGTAAAATTTCTAGATACACCAAAATTATGAGTTAAGCTAATGATTTTTTTATTTTTTTTGGCTTTCATAGTAAAGAGTTTCCTTTACATAACCAAGTGTTTTGTTTTGTTTTGTTTTACTAATTCTTTTTTGATTTTTACTGAATCATGCATGTTAATTATACTATAATATGCCAGACAATGAGAATTAATTTTCTATCAAAAAGTACATACGTTTAACTAATTCTTTTTCGGCCTTTCATTTCAGTATTGAGCTTAGAGCTTGTTTGGATGGTTGTTACTTATTGTATTGTATCGTATTGTACTTTAAATATTATGTTTGTTTTGGTTGTTATTTAAATTTTATTGTATCGTATCGTTAAATCCGTCCTTACGTAACGACGAAATGTGTCATTTTATGTAACGACCGATTTGGTGTGGTTGTGTCATTATCTTGTCTTTTTCTCTCATCTACTCGCCATTATTATTAAATAATTTTATTTTATCATCTACCCTACCTTTATATATAATAAATTTACCCCGTGTCATAATTTTTCTTTATAATATTGCAAGTTTATTCTTCATATTGCTAGTGTGTGATATTATGAAACAACAACAAACGATACAATCTATTCAAACATTGTATTCATCAAATAATATAGTACAATACAATATGATAATAAATTATGAAACAATGTATAGCAACCATCCAAACAAGAGTCAAAAACTAAAAGTTTAGTCAGCTTTGGTAAACTTTGAAATATAATTATTCTTCTTCTTCTTGTTCTTGTTCTTCTTCTTCTTCTTCAAATTTAGACCTCCGAATTTGAAGTTAAGCTTGTTAGAACCTTGATTTTCAAAACGGCTTCGACATAGTTCAACTTCAGACTCGACGGTTTAAATTTAAAAACTTTATATATTCACGACTCTTAAATTGATTTTGAAATGATTAAAATTTATTTTTTATTTTATTTTTATTTTAGTAAATTTCGGTAATTTTTCATAATAAGAGTCCAAAAAAGACTATTCATGCACTTTGTGATTCTTTCATTTTCAATTTAATTTAAGACGTGGCAAAAACGTTTGACGAAAATTGGTACCTTATTTGGAGTTTTATTTGGTGAAGAAAAGGGCAAATAGGACAAAAATGGGGTCTAGAAATTTGAGAAAGATGCACTAATTCTTTTAAGATTTAGTCTCTTAGGGTCGTTTGGTTCGAACACAAATTATAATGGTTTGGTTATGCTTAGATTAATTATATTGGAGTTCGTTATGCTAGAATTAACTATTCTGATATTATTTTTTATTGATTGTTCGGTATATTATATCAATTTTGAGATTATCAGTTTTACTGCGTTATTCTGGGATAATTTATCGTAAGATTACTATTTCACCCTCTAGCAAATATGTGCTATCCAGTGACTAATTTTAATCTTAGGATAATTATCTCATAATTAATAACCAAATAAAAGATAAGACGATACTAAATTTTTATCTTAAGATTATAATTTTTTATTTATCCGTCATGCCAAACGAGAAGGGGAGTATTGGCGTAACTGGTAAAGTTACTGTCATGTGATCAGGAGGTCACGAGTTCGAGCTGTGGAAACAACCTCTTGTAGAAATGCAAGGTAAGGCTGCATACGATAGACTGTTGTGGTCCGGCTCTTTCTCGGATCACGCACATAGCGAAAGTTTAGTGCACCGGACTGTCCATCGTTCCAAACTACCCCTACGTATTTAAATGAAATGTAAATTGGGATTGCTTCGTATACACAAAAATTCTCAAATTGAACACCATTTGAATATTCAAATTTGTTGGAAGTAGCTAGACCAAGAGTTTTTATGGTCCAATGCATTGTTGAGACTTTCTTGGTACCAAATAACAATTCCATATTTGGGAGAGCATTAAATATTTTTATGCTGTATGTTTTTATACGGTCTAATATCTCTATAATATACTTATTTGTTTTAATTTTTTTACTGCTATAATAAAATATTGTTATAAAAAATATATATCATAACATAACATAAAAAATTAGTTTTGAAGAAAAAATAAAACAAGAGAACTGGTCAAATTTATCAATGTATTATTAAATTGGGTATGTAACAGTGCAATTTGCTACACTTTGGATTTAATTTGAAGAAAATGCTGTTGGAAAAAAGTACTCCCTCCGGTCCATTTTAAGTAATTTTTTGGTCTTTTTCTTGTGGTACATAATATTTGATTTTTTCAAATATCAAAAAGAAGGAATTGACTTCTTTTTTTTCAAAATTGTCCTTGCAATAAAGAGCTTGTGAATAGTTTATTATATTTCCAATGAGCAGATTAACGTTAATATGGTCAATTTCATTGTTAATCAATGCTAAAAGTAAATTTATCAATATGTGTGAAAAAAGTAAAAAAAAATTACTTAAAATGGACCGAAGAGAGTAATGTTTTGTAATCCAATAATGGAGCTCCAACTAGTAATTTAAAATCATAATTTTTCATAGAAGTATTTGAACTTTTTTTCTTGAAGTATTTTGACTTGTGGAGTTTATCTATTTATTACGAGGCAATATTTATTAATGATAAAAATATAAATAAATCTAGAGTATTATAGAGGGTAAAATTTAGCAACTTCAATAAATCAAAGTTGGTCCACCTCTAAAGCTTATGATTTTATTCTACATTTTCTACAAAGATATAATTATCTTTTTCTCTAAACTAATTAAAGTTGCTTCTCTTAGTTGTCTTTACTATTCTCAACGTTAAAAAGAAGTTCCAACATAAATTCTTTATTCAAATTCATTTTGTATTTTTCAACCTAGTTCAATCAATCAAGTCTATTAAAGATGCACGTACGTCTATTTATTTGACTTGATTTATCCTTCCATTTAAAGTAAAACAGAAATGAACCTTAAGATTTGTATGTCTCACAGTAGCCTAAAACGTTATTAATGTTGGGGTAAGTGCACAAATAGTCATTTTTTAAGGATGATATTTAGATATTAGTCAATACTTATGTCGTCATGAAATTTTAAACTAAAAATCTTAAGTTCAGGACAATTTTAGGACATTTTTATCCTGAAAAATTAAAATTCAAAACGCACTGATTAATTTTTAAATAACAACCCTTTAGAATAGCTACCCGGTGTCATTTATACATTAATGGTTATAATTATCATCGACTAAAGTCTTTGTGAGTGGGAGTCTCGCTTTATGTGATCTGATTCGGAGTACACAG